CACTCGCCCGATTACCGCCTCTACTTTAGTAAGTAGCAGCCTCTCCCGACCCCGGGCTCCATTAAACCCTTTCCCTCCTTACCGCCGCCCTGTCCTGGCGGGGCACGGCGTGGAGGGAGGAGGGCGGCCCCCGACAGGGCTTCTGAGGGCTCGCCCTGGGCCTCCTCCCCACCTCGCCTCAGGGAGGGGGCAGTTCAGTGTGAAAACTGTCGGGATTTCCCAGAAAATCAGCTGCTTAGCGGGATGCTCGTCCTTCTCAGCCCAGGGTGGGGTGGCCCTGAGTGGCCATGGCTTCAGAAACCTGCAAGGGTAAGGGGACCACAGGATCCTACAGGTTGAAAGCCAAAGCGATGCCTTGCTACCCCAGCCCAGTGGCAGTGGGGTCAGCCAGGGCTACAGTGTGCTCTGTGAGGCCAAAACCAAGCAAGGTCTTGACAGCAAGAGCCTCTCCTCGGCCTGGCAGGGAGCATGACCTTCCCCCTCATGACCAGGACAGTCCTCTCTCCTGCAAATGCCATGATGAGGAGAGGCTGCCGTCCAAGATGGGAGTCACCAAGTGCCATGTCGCCTGTTAGGCTGGCACCTTGGGCCCATGGGTATGGGGAGGTTTCTCAAAACCCAACCAGAGCTGTTGGTGTGCAGGCTCAGTGTTATGCCTTTCAGTAACAAGCTGCCCGTGCGGATGTGGTACTTGGTTCACCAGTGCTGGTTTTACACATCTGTGGCCCCCTCACTTCTTGCTGGTGTGAGAGAAATGGTTGCGGTGAGTTTCCTGTTGGAGTGCCTTGCCAGGACTCCGTTGTGCTTTGCTTCCAGAGGGTGTCTGTCCAGGAACTTATATCCAGTGAGTCCATGGAGCGTGTGCAACAGCAAGCAGTGGACAACTCAGTTACTTTCAATTCTAGAGCCTTAGCAGTCATCCCTTCTGTTATGTACTGTGATCTGTTGACCAGTCAGAACAGGCTGGTGGATTTTCTCTTTCTGATTATAAAATTTGGTTTATGAGAATAAATACAGTTTATTATCAGTGAAGCCATATGGGGAGTGTTGCTATAAACCCAGACAAATTCATTAATAACTCATGGAGCTGAGGTTCTCTGGGTATTTCGCATTATTTCCATCTTTATCGCCAATGGCTGTGTGTTGCCAGGGTAGAAGAGAAGAGGGAATAAAAGGATCTTCTCATTTTGATTCATTGTAATGAATCATTGTTAAAACTTTTTTTGTGTGTGTTTCCCCTGTATACAGTTTATTTTGTAGTCCTTAAATTCCAGAAAGTTGGGTTTATATATGATTGTTGCACACTGTATGTTTCCATAATGCATAGTAAGTTTTGGGAATGCAGACATCTTATGGCATATGTTTAGATTTGTAATGCCTTTTTTTTTTCTCCTTCAGAGAATTCAGAGGGTAAATATATTTCTCCATTTCATGACATCCCACTGTTCGCTGGATCTAAAGAAGTATGTATTTATGCCTTAATATACCGTTTATTTCTAAAATGAAAGTGGTTGTGTTGGTACTGTTTAGATAAAAGTGTGCATTTATTTATTTATTTATTTTTCTCCAGCTGGTATTTTCTGAGTTCAATAACATGCAGTGAAACTACATGATAACTATTTAAACAAGCCTAGGTTTCTTAAGACCGCAAGTGATGGGAGAGAAAAAAAGCCCTCTCCCTTTATCTTGTGATAATTCTCTTGTTTAAAGCTTGTGTTTATATGCTCTAGAATTAATTTTCCAGCGTTACTCGTTTAAAATGATATTTTTCTTCATCTGCAATTAAATGTGTGCATTTCCTTGCTGCAGGAAATGTACAGCGTGTACTTGTGTGACTTATGGTGTATTTAATTCCCCGAAGGAGCACTGTAATTGGAAGCCAACCGTAATGCCCAGGAGAAAAGTGGTAATCGCACCTTTGGAGAATTAGAAGGCGTGAGGTGCAGCTGAGCACTTTCACGTCTTGTTAGCCATACTCCCTGGAGTTTCATTATAGCAATAATGAAACGCCTGTTTTATGTGTCACCAGTGGGAGCTGCCAGTCCTTGGTTTAAACTTGGTACCATAAGAAGCACAGCACTTGTTGCACAAACAGACTGGGAAAATTTCATCCGTTTCCTTGATTTGTTTTGGGGATCCTCTGAGAAAAGTCAATATCTGTAATGCAGGTTGAGATTGATTCGTTAGTTCAAAAGTCTTAATCCCTTGAATTATTTAGAGTACCTGAAATTTTTTTGAGCAGCAGATGTAAGCGTGCTAATCAAGAGAAGATGTAGGCTTTATTCAGATTCTCATTACTACGATGCCCAGTGTAGCTGTGCTATTGCCAAAATCTGAAAGGCATTTTCACCCACATATTCCATGGGAGTCTTGTTATCTGTGGAACTAGAGTTTAAGATTTGGAGGTATGAGTTATGGAAAATTTATAGATTGATAAAACATCAATGTTCTGTAATGTAATATGGAGAACCTTTCACTTTGACTACTTCAAGAAGTGCTTTCTCCAAAATATAGGTGCTAATGGGAAGAGAAAGGAAGAGAATCATTAGGCAAGTCTATATTAATTTTACTTTCTTTTTGAGAGGAGAAAGTTGAGGAGTTTTATATTATCTTTTTACATTCTCTGATCTAAGCTTTGTGGGCTGTCTTTAATGATGGATACCTCCAGACTAATTTTCTGTACTGCTTTTAAACTTTGCTTTTTATTTTTTTTCAAATGAACAGGAAAATTATTCTGATATTTTTGCTTTTGGTTTGTTTGTTTGTTTTAAACTAGCTGAGGACAGGCCTAAATCACTGCTTAAAAGTTTTGTGCACCTCAGAGAGGATCCCTGTCCATTTTAATTATCCTCTGATAACATCTAAAAAGCTATAATTTCACAAACAGAAGAGACTGAACACACATTTTAAAAAATAATAGTTTAGGCCCTTATATTCACAGAGGGATGCTTCAGCTGCATTTAAAACTAGAACTATCAATATTTATGTCAGTAAGTTATTCTTCCTCTCGTCTATTCCTCATACACTTTTCTTTGCTCTTTTCTTCTAGGATAAAGAGATTCCAGCAAAGAGATCAAAGACTACTGGAAGTGAGGTACTGCTAAGATTTATTAAGCATCATTTTGCTCTTTTCTTATTGTAATGAATGAGCTCTAACAGCATTTCCAGTCATGGTGGACAAAATGAGAGCTGTTCAGCATCACATGTCTTTCCTGGAAAATAGTTAACATATCTTCAAATGCAAGTGTTTTAGGAGGAGAAGACTTAAAGGGATTTAATAATCTCTTCTTTGAATGGGCCGGTAATGTTAAGATTCTCCAAGACATTCTCTTTTTACCACTCTCTGAAAGGTTCCTTACAGCTATTGCAAATTTCATACATTATCATTTCTTTCCCCCTCCCCTCACTGAATGAATCCAGAAACATTTGCAAAGAAAACTCCGGTAATGAAATATTTGTTATGCTTTCACCATGAGATAATATTTGGTGTGTACAAAACTCTAGAGATCTAGCTAGGACAGAAATTAAACTTACTGTCTCTTTTTTAGATCTGAGGGTATGTCCTTTTCTTATCTGAGAAGTCCAAAGTAGAGATGATCGCGTGTGCTAATGCTTTAGAATTAACCCGTACTAAAGCTAAACCTCAGAGAAGCCTAAAAAAAACATGGAAGATCTACTGTAATTGTTTCTGTGAAATAAGATTTGTTTATGCAAGCATTTCTTTTCCAAAGTGTGGCATTTTTTTTGTGATGCTTTCCTTGGTAGTGGCATATATCAAAAATTGAGTAGAAGAAAGTGGAGGAAAAAAATAGTAATAGAACTGTTTTAAGGGCATGATGTTTGGTATATCACCTTGTAGAACTGTGCAGTTTGAGATAAGATTTCAGGCCATCTATATAGGCATCTAAATATCCATTGGACTCCCCAGAATTTTATTTTCTCAATATCTGTTTGACCAGTCATGTTGCAAAGCTGTAACAACCCATGTCTCGTGGCAGAACTGACCTAACTGTATTTTGCTCAGATTTGCTCCTAGTGTGCAGTACACTGGTTCCCCTACTGTGCACCTGTCCCCATGCAGTGCTACACCAAGGCATTAGATGTATTTACTCTTCCTTTGCCCTGTGATTTGTTTAGACTACAATGCCTGGGTAATGCTGTTCAGATTTCCTACTTACTTGGTGCAGTTATGCCTAAAAGCTGAATTGCAGAGGAGGAAGTATGGCTGCTCAGAAAGGCTGTTGGGACATTGTCTTACAACATGAATGCCTAAGTACTGTTCTTGCTAGAAATCAAGTGCTCTCTTCCTTATCTGCTTATAAGTGCTGTGACAATATCTGTGAGCTTTGAAGATGCAAAATCTGTTCTGTGCAGTGTCTGAAACTAGTTCTAAACTGCGTTTGTCTGTTTAGTGGAAAGCATGATAGCTTGTTTAAAACCATCTCTCTAGTTCACTTCTGATATCTGGATCAGTCTATTCCTGAGAGCGAATCCAGCAACTCTGAGTAGCTGTTTCCTGGGGGCCAATGTAGACCCTGAGCTGCTTCTGAAATCCTGCTGTGAGCGTGCTCTATATTGCAATTTAATGGGAAAAAAGGAGCAAAGGCAACTGTATCTTTCAGTCTTTGTGGGCCCCTAGTGTGAGTAAGCAAACATGCAGAATATGAGCTTCTCAGCCTGCTTGGTCTTTACTGAGAATGTGAAATGCAAGAGGGCAAGTGATGTAGAAATCGCGTTTTCCTTCTTTTGGACCCGGGAAGAAGAGAGGAAGAGAGAAAAGAGAGGGAGTCTTCGTGTTCAAGAAGTATTATTCCTTCCTTTTACACTAGGTTCTTCAGTAGTTCTTCTCATCTTGGCCTAGTGAGATATGCATCACTGCATTTTGAGAAAGTGTAATCAGAGGAGAAAAAAGAGAAAAAGGAGATATTAATGCTATTTATTGACTTCCCAATCAGTACTTTGAATCACTGTCTCTTTACTCTCTTCTAGGTATGTGAAAGCTACTATTGATATCTCAAGTTTAGTAGACCCTTGCACTGAATTTGGCCAGAATCTAAAGGTGATAGATACTTCCTTTTGCCCTACATATACTGTCACATTTTTAATCTTGTGCTTTTAGGATGGTGATTATTTGTTAGTCTCCACAATTGAATGGCCCCTTAAAAGTATGTGTTAAATTGTGCCAAAATAGCTTTCATAAGATGGCAGTTTAGCTGTGGAAAATGAAGATAGTTTTGTATGAGTCTCTTCAGTCTGTCTAATCTATTTTGAATTGTTCTTGGCCTCTGCGATAAGAAAAAAAGGTTTCAAAATCAGGAGTTTCAACTTTCAACATTCATGGGATAGAGTAGCACACATCTTAGGAGTCTGTATATTAGCTAGTTTGCTAATAGTTCTTGTATTAGTTCTGCTTGTATCAGCTTGAAAGTAGTGGCATTTCTGTTCTCAGTAGTGTAGCCATTTTTTGCAACATCATAGATCTCCCCAAAATTTCAATTAAATTTGTCTTTGCAGCTGGTGTTGACAACTAATCTTTGGCTTCCATGAATGTTTTTCAACTGTGTGAAGACTTGAGTGAGGCTGTCTTCAGAGAAGAACTATGTGGGAAGAAATCATATTTAGCCTTAGTCTCAAATTATTGCCAGCTTGCAGTCGGAACCTCAGCTTTGTCTTAAGCATTGAAAACACTCGAAATCCACTCTTGTCCAAATAAATCTCTATGAAAGGCATCAAAAGTTTCACATCTCTGCCTGGGAGAGTGGGTATTTTCCCTGTGGTTACAGTGACAACTCTGTTGGGCACTGATTGTTGAGTATGGCCTTCAGAGCCAGGTGGCAGGAAGAAGGTTCCAAGAGGTCACTGCTGTCTTTTCAAGACGTGTTGCTTCCCTGCTGTACTGAAAGGGTTTCTAATCCCCTTGTCATTATATGTGTCTTTGGTGAAGTGTTCACATATTAGCTCATTCAGAGGACTCAGGTGTTCTTGAATACAAGGTTTTATTTAAAATGTTGGCCTTAGTAAGGAATCTGTCCATGCATGTCAAGATTATCCTCCTTAAACTTGTGGAGACCCACGAGAGCAGTTAATTTTTTTTCTTTTTTTTTTTTTTTTTTTAAAAAAAAGGCAGGGAGAGGAAGAAAGAAGCAGGACAGCTTTTGTTTTGTTCTGTCTTGTGGATTGCACAGTACTGCAATGCCCTTGTGGACTTGAGTTGAATTCCCTCTGTCAGGCGAAAACTTTTGATAAATAAGCCAGTCACATGAGATATAAGGGGTCATCAGAGTGGGCAAGCAGTCTGAATAGGTGATCTGATAGAGGGCCTCAGGCTTGGAACAGAGTTCAAAACTGGTGTGAAGAGTTGTCTTATGATTAAATCAGGATGTTTCATGAGCGGGGAAAGCTGGCAATGTTTCCCATACACTACAGGTGCAAATTTTGTGTTCTGTGTTACAGCCTCTGTAACAGCCTTCAGTCATGCTGGACCCCCTTTTGGAATATGTCACCCAGACTGTAATGAGTCCATCACATGTGCTGTTGCATGTTCTGAATTCTGCTCATTGTTAGAGGTTTCATCCTGTTATATGAACTTGAGTGTTTTTCTGTGGAACTGTCATAAATTTTGCTTTGTACTCATGTAGATTAGCAAATGTCGAGAAGAACAAAAGTAATTTTTGTATACCAATAAGGTTAGTATCTACTGAGGTAGAAATGGTTTTCTGAGAAAGCTGCATCAGTGAATTGATCAAGTTTATCTTCTAAGAAACAACTTGAGAAAGTCAATTTTTTTTTTCATCCATGTCAATGCTATGCTGCGTAGTTTTTCAAGCTAATTCACCCAGTAGCTAGTTTAGCTTATAAGTGAATGTGCCTGACCCCTAGGATACTTATGAATAAAAACTCTTCATAGTGTTCTTGATTTCTTTTTCACTGCAACATGAGGGGAGTAGGAAAAGACTGCAGATATTTTGCATTTATGCTTGGCATTGCATGCATCCTTCCAGCACCCCTGGCCCCTCCCCCCCAGTTAATTTGTGTTGGAAAAGTTCCATTTACTTTTCTTTTAGGCGGAGAATATTTGGTCTCCAGATGTTGCTGGCATCTGTTTTGATGTTTTCTTTGGCAAATACCTTGTAGCAAGTGTTAGGTTGGGAATGGGACTCATGTTGTAAGCAAGCCCCTCTCCATTTATTCCTGGTTGTATTTCATGGCAGTCCTTCTTTTCATCCTTTTTTTTTTTTTCTCCTTCTTTTAAACTTACATTATTGGTGGCATTGTTCTTTGTTTCGACTGCTGCTGGACTGTAGTTCATCCTTTTCATTCTCGTTAGTCCTCGAGCAGGCTGCTGTATTCAGTCGATGGCTCATGAGAATCCCTGTAAGATTGCAAATGAGCAGACAGAAAAGAAATGGAAATGGTAGCTGCTTTTTCTTCTTTATGTCGTGTGAGTTCAGAGCTTCTCAGTGAGGAGGGTCAGCAGCTCCCAAATGCTGTCTGTAATGCTTTCAGATTTTTTTTTTTTGAAGGCACTCTACTGTAAAAATGACTAAAGTAATTGTAAGCTTCAGCATATCTTCTTTCTCCCTCATGCAGAGATGATGGTGAATGGCATTCAGGACTTAAAAAGTGGTGATGTTTGTCTTTTTATGAAATCTTACTGACTTTCTGTTCCTCTTTTTCCATCTTTTTTCTACCTCTCGTTTTGTTACTTCCTATGCTGTATACGAGTTGCTCCAGTTTTGATTCAAATTACCTGAACCCTTGTAGTTGAGCCTTGCCTGTTGCAACCTTTGGACAATATGCTTCACTCAATTGTGCTGACCTTCGATATTCAGGTTTGTGGTAACATCTTGATCTGAATAAGGTGTTTTTTTTTTTTTTTTTTTTTTTTATAAGAGTCTGTACAGTGAGAGCCAGCAGTTATTTTTGGTCTTTCTCTCCCTTCTCTTAGTGGAGAGAATGGTGACTAATGGCTTACCTAGGTTAAACAATCTCTATTTTTCTTGGTTTTCCGAATACTTGCTACAGTGAATTTCCGTACTTTGCTATCTCTGAGTGTGTGTGTGTGTTTTTTTTATGCTTTAGAAAGAAGGCTACTCTTGTTCATGTGGAATGGCATCATCAAAAGCAATATTAAGATAAATTTAAAAAGATGTTCAGTTAGTGAAATGCATTGAATTGTGAAGCCTTGTTACAGAAAACACCCTGGTAAAGCAAACATTTCCTATGTGTGTTTCCATCTGGTGAACTTGGATTGTAGTTCTTTGGAAGTTTTTATCATTTAAAGGTACTGTTTGTTCCTTCTGATGTCATTTGCTGCCTGCTTTCATATTCAGTTTTAGGAATTAAGAAATACACTTTTGACTTTTGTGTTGAGCAAATAGATTTATTTTTTCCCCTACCTCCTCAGTATGTCTAATAGAGCATAAGTGTCCACCTTCTGTTCTCATTAACCAAGTCAATCAAGCTACATAATGTCTTGAGTTGAACATCCTTCTATGTTGGGCTATGCTAGGAGTTTCTTTTCTTAGCTGTTAGGGTCTGTCCCTTCATTTGAATCTAGGAAACTGTTTCATCTTTTCTCTCATGCTACAGGTTTCTGAAGAAACTATTAGCCAGCAGGGTTAGTATGACTGTAGTTCGAACTACTCTCTGACCTGTTGTACAGTTTACCTTCAGAAAGTGAAGTCCTTTCTACATTAAGCTCTTGTAGAGCTGGGTTTAGTCTGCATTTTATCAAGCAGTGATCTCCTAGGCAGGCATGTTGACTGACAACATGCTCAGGTTGCTAAATATAATTGATAATTGTTTGGAAGACAAAATCTTTTTGTTGTTATTCTATACAGTTCTTATTCCTGCAAAAGGTATATGGCTCTGGAACATATACAAACAATGGATTCATTGCCTAACAGAAATGCTAAGGGAAGAAACTTTAAAGAGGGTCAGTAAGAAAGGGCTAGGAGCTTCCTAAAGCAAATAGCTTTCCTTTCAGAAGAGATCTGCTTTTGAGTTTTCTTCTTTTTTTTCCTCTTGGAAGGTGTGTCAAATGGGCTGTTGGAGCATTGCCACCATTGCTGGAGTGGATAGAAATAGCCACTTGGATTTTTGGTGTGGTGGGATATTTTTGTATCAGGTATATTTTTGTATCCAGTTCATTGACAGGACAAAACTAATCACTCAGTGGCACGTGCAGGTGGTAATCTAGGGAGATGCGTGGTGTCTGACACTTGAGTTTCTGTTGGTAGCTGTGGCAAGGAATGTTTTTCAGCAAGGATCTTGGAAGAGAATGGTCGAATGGACAGAATGAATAAGTATTTGGCATGGGGAAAATAAGAGTAGTGGGGAAAAAAAAGTCCTTGGGTGTTACTTAGACAAGGAACAAGGAAGAGACACAAGACAGTAAAGAGCAGGGGGGGAAATAGAGATAGAAATGTACTACTCTTCTGTTTCCAGCTGTCAGACACATTAGATATAATGTGTTCCCCTCTCTACTCCAGTAAATCCTGCCTCATCACTGAAGATCTGGTTGTCCTATAAATAAACTTTTTATTTTTAAATGTAAGCACTGCATGAAGTTATTCATCTCTTATAGATGCTGTGGCAGCTTAGTATTAGAGAGTACTTTTTTTTTTTTTTTTTTTTTTTTTTTTGCATATGAATTAAGCTGTCAGGCTGTCACAGTTAAGATTCTTGGCAAATCACTTTTGACTGATACCACGGACTATAAAGCCCTGGTCTTAAAGCTGGGTAAAATGCAAATGATTCTATGTGAGAAAAATATTAAATGGGCTTCAGTCCAGCCATGGTCCAGTCATGAGTGTTCTTATGAAAACCCCAAGTAACAAAGTTCAGAAACAACATTTGCAGGCTCTTCAGGTCATTGGAGTATCAGTCAGGAGGATATGCAGTGGCATCTCTTATCACCATATTCCTATACTTTTGTCATACTTTGTATCATTCCAGGAGTAATTTTAAAGGTGGTGGTGGTGGTTGTTTTTGTTTTGTTTTGTTTCGCCTGTAGCTACCAGTCAGAACCCCTGCTGGTGGTCCCCTGAGAGCTTCTTGTCAATATTTCCTTTCATGCTGTGTATTTCTTTTTCCGAGTATTTCTTGACTGAGCAAACTTTATTTGACTTCTGTACCTGCTGCTGTCTGTGTATCACCCTTGTCTGTGTCCGCTTCTTTAGTGATGACATCTCTGAACTTATTTCAGCTATTCTTATACAGCTGCACTTATTCAACTTCTCTTAAGGCGTGCCTTATTAAACTGATCTGAAACACCTACTTTTCCTCTCCTTTTTTCTTTCTTTTTTTTTTTCTTGTTTTAATGTATTTGATATAATTGGTTACAATATGGACACAGTACTCACAGATGGGAGACTTTTTTGAATATTCTGGGCATTGGCTATTTGTCAGGTTTGTGGATAGCTTGTGATCTTGCAGGAAAAACAGTAAGTGACAGCTGGGATTTTCCTTTGCTTTGTTGTTTCTGTGTTTGCAGGTCTGGGGAGAGGAGAATGATTCATAGAACCATTGGAATGACTTCAGTCAGACTATGACATTGGCCCTGGCAATGGTATTGGTTTGCTGCAGCTGTAGGTTACAAAGAGCAAAACTACGCCAAAAAAAGCCCATATTTTAATTGCAAAGTATCTAAAGAGTTAGTGCAACTTTTAGCTTAGTTTGGCCTTGCATTTAACAAATTTCTTTAAAAATATAGTCTGCCCTTCCTTGGCTGGTGTGTTTTTAATACCAGCGCTTTAATACCGTCACTTCTAATACCAGTACTTCCTTGGCTGTAGTGAGATGTCAAGAGTACCCTAGACAGTGTAGCATTTTGAGATTATTTTAGTAATCTTAGAGAAAATTGACTGTAGGAATTGCTGTATGCATTGGACTAGTTATCTGTACTCTATCCTCCTTTGTAGTGCTTAACTCTGTTTTAGAAAGAAGAAATCTTACAAGAGATAACTACACAAATAATTTTTTCTCTTTGGAAAATATCATTTTAACTTCTGCAGTAAGAAGGATTTAGACTTAAAAAACCTTAAGCTTACATGCTTTATTTATTTATTCATCTGTGTCCAGTTCCTTCCTCCCCCATCACTCTTGAATTCATCTTGGCTTCCTTCAGCTAGTTGTGACTAAGGCTCAGGTATCTCAGTGGTTGTTCGTCTTTGACTGGTAGACTCGACACTGTCTTGAGGTATATCATTCCATAAGCTTATAAAATATTACATGCAGAATAGTATAGAGATAGGGAAATCCACGTGATGCTTTTCATTCCAGTCTTGTAGTTGTTTATGTCCTGAAAGAGTGACAGAAAAAGAGGAAGGAGGAACCAAGGAGATTGAATATCACTGTGAGGATCTGGTGGCTGTAAACAAATTTTCTTAGAACTTGTCTTATTGCCAAGTATTAATTATGAAGTGGACTTTCATTTGAGATTCTTTCATTGTTTTTATTTTAGGTACTGTTTAATATGGTTGTGGAAGTGCCTCGTTGGACAAATGCAAAAATGGAGGTAATTAAGAAAAAAATGATTATTTAGGCATTTATGAAGCATATAAGAACTTAATCTATTCTAGGATTTCAGAGTTTTTGTTATTTATTGTTATTCTTGTATTTTCTTTGTTATAATATTTACTTGAAGTTGCGCATACAGAGATGTTTCTTGTGGTTAAGGAAAATGTTAAGGTTCTAATTGTTTCTTTATGACAGAAGATGCTTGGGGAGCTCACTGGTAGAAAATACCTGTCCCTGCCAGAAGATGCTTAATAAGCAGATCTTAGCATTGTTCCTCTACTGCTAGAATACAGAATTTGAGTAATACTTCATCTGCATTGTTGGTAAAACAACAGATCTTTCCAGAGGTTTTCCTGTGTTTTTTAACATTTGTATTATTTTTAAGGATGTTTCCTGGATACATTTAAGGAAGTTGGTTGAGTTGTTAGCTTTTCTGGTTATTACAAATATCAATAAGAACTTCCCCAAACTGTTATTTCAGAATTTCATTATCTTCTTTCCATGGTGCTGGAATATCATTTGAACGATGTTTATAATCTCAACTGTTATTGTAGAAAAAGGGCTATCTTGTAAAATTAGCTTCCATTTTTGGGATGATGTCTTTTTGTGGAAGCTGAGATCCCTTTTTTAAAGTTTGCCCT